AGAAAAGAAGTTGAAGAAGAAGAAGAAGAAGAAGAAGAAGAAGAAGAAGAAGAAGACCTAAATGAAAGATCTCTGCGAGTGAGATCTCAGTGGAAAGAACGGGGCCATCAAAGAAGGAGGTACCTTTCTCTGAAGGGAGGAGAGAACTTCCACTTTGACTATGACCCTGTCGGAATAAGATCAAAGTCAGCGAACTCAAAAGGCTTCCATAGCCTTGGCAACTCATGACTAGAGCCTAGGGAGATTACTGACACCATCAACAAGAGTGTCAAATTGTTAAGTCAACAACAGGGATTGCTGCGTACTTACTCCTCATGTGGGATCTGTCTTTAATTGTTGTCCAATGTGAAGTAATGCTATAACTAGTACTGAAACAGTATTTTTCACTTTGTGTTTATATTTGGGTGCAAACTGCTGAAATCTTTACTTAATATATACTAAATTGATCTTCTGTACATAAAGAGAATCAAAAATGAATCTTGATGTGAATGGAATGGGAGAGGGAACGGGAGATGGGAGGGGTGTGAGTGGGAGGGAAGTTATCAGGGGGAAGCCATTGTAATCCATAAACTGTACTTTGGAAATTTATATTTACTAAATAAAAGTTAAAAAAATATAGAAAAATGAAATTAGATCCCTACCTCTCATCATATGCAAAAATCAACTCAAGATGTATTAAGGGCCTAAATTTAAGACCTGGGAATGTAAAGCTACTGGAAGAAAACAAAAGAGAAATAGTTCATGACACTGGTGTAGGTGGTGACTTCATGGAGAAGACCAAAGAACAGGAAACTAGAGCAAAACTACACAAATGAGACTATATCAGACTCAGAAGCTTCTGGACAGCAAATGAAGTAATCAATAGAGTGAAGAGACACAACAGAATGGGAAAAAATATGTGCAACCTAATTATTTGACAAAGGATTAATATTCAGAATATATCACAAACTCAACAATTAAAAAACAACCAATCCAATTTAAAAATGTGTGAAGCTCCTGTTTAGATAGTTCACTAAAGAAGAAATGCAAATGGCCAACAAATATATGAAAAAAATGGTTAATATCATTAGCAATCAGGGAAATGTAAATTAAAACCACATGAGATAATCACTTCATCCCCATGAGAAGGGCTATTATCCAAAAAACAGAGTAACAAATGCGGGTGAGGAAGTGGAGTAAAAGGAATTCTTATACACTGCTAAAGTAATGTAAATTAGTGTAGCCACTGCAGAAAACAGTCTGGGGATTTCTTAAAAAACTAGAAGTAGACTTGCCATATGATCCAGCAATCCCACTAAAGACAAGAATACATTGTAAGAGATACCTGCATTATCATGTTTATGGCAGAACTGTTCACAATAACCCAAATATGGAAACAACCAAGATATCCATCATCAGATGAGCATATAATGAAAATGTGCAATATTATTCACCTATAAGAATGAAATTATACCATTTGCATCAAAATTCGTGCAATTTGGGACATCATGCTGAGTGAAATAAGTCAGGCACAGAAAGACAAATACTAGTATGTGGGAGCTAAACTCAAAAAAAAAAAATCAAAGAAAAACAACAAAAAAAGAAAAGTCCGTGTGTCAGTTCTGTTGTAAATAGTTTTGTCAAACTTTGTTTTACATTTTTGACAAGCCAGTAGTTAAGAATGACATACTATGAGATGCCACTCTCCTCCCAGGCCAGCTAGGTAATGGAGGTCAACAGATTGCCTTCCCTAAGAGGTGCACACCTCCCTTAAGTTGTATCCTATGTAAAGAGATAGATAGGTCTGGGCCTCATAACTGACAAGGCCCTAAAGCCCACCAGATTATTACCAAGCTCCTTCTGTCAGTTTCTATTTGCCTCTCAATCAGAAAACTTATTTGTGGCTTAGCACCTTTCTTAGGTCCTCTAATAATGACTCTGTCCTTTGTTCTAGACCCTGTCTAGCCCACTTGGCCTTCATTCCTTTATAATCATAGCCTCTACTCTTAAATCAATGGCTCTACTCCTGACCTGTGTGTATTGACGGTCCTCTCCCCCACTTAATGTTGTATGATTGTTCAGAATTTCTCTAAAGGCAAACCCCTCTACCTGCAAAAGATGAGTGGCTTTTCTCCCAGTCTTGGTTGGGATCAGCTTTAAACCACGTCCATCAAATAGTCTTCACAAGGGTCCAGAGACCCCACCTCTATTTCCTCTCCTCTATGAAATCCTCTCATTACTTGGTTAATACCACTCTTAGGACCATTGGTTGCTAATCTCACACTGTCTTATATTACTGTGTCTGTTTAAGTGTTTACAGGAGTTGATAATGGAACAAACCAAAGACTTCAGCAACCAGGCAGTCAACCAAATGCTTCCCACCCAGGAGACAGCAGCTTGAGACATCACCCCATGCCAGCGAAGAGTACCTCCTCACCCCATGTCAGCAGGAAGTAGCTCTAAAGACAGAGCATCATCCCTCTACCCATCCTGGACCTTTGAGACTAATGTAATCCCTTACAGCTCCTGCTTTATAAAAAACAAAAGGGGGGAATGTTAGTAAAATGGTGCAGTCTTTTTTTTTTACAGGCAGAGTGGACAGTGAGAGAGAGAGACAGAGAGAAAGGTCTTCCTTTTGCCGTTGGTTCACCCTCCAATGGCCGCCGCAGCCAGCGCACTGCGGCCGGTGCACTGCGCCTATCCGAAAGCAGGAGCCAGGAGTCAGGTGCTTCTCCTGGTCTCCCATGGGGTGCAGGGCCCAAGCACTTGGGCCATCCTCCACTGCACTCCCGGGCCACAGCAGAGAGCTGGCCTGGAAGAGGGGCAACCAGGACAGAATCCGGTGCCCTGACAGGGACTAGAACCCAGTGTGCCGGCGCTGCTAGGCGGAGGATTAGCCTAATGAGTCATGGTGCAGTCTTATCTATAGCATGATTTACACCCTGACACCTTCCTAGGCTCTAGCCCCTGCTGCCATTGCTGGAAGCCAGGTGGCCACATGGCCCAACCAGCAGTGTCAAGCTTCACTTCATCCTAATGGAATTCATTGCTCCTACTTCCCTGCCTGCCTCCCTGCAAAGTTTTAAAATGACCTATTGCTGAACACATGGCTCTCTTTCTCTCTGTCTCCTGATCTCTGCCTGTCTTTTCATCTCTCTCTTACACTCTCCTTCTCCCCCTTTTTTTTTTTTTGCCCCTTCCCTCTGGTCTGTCAGGTTTCCCCCAATAAACTCTTTCCCTTAAAAAAATTACATACTACTATAATTTTAATGACCTTTGATTATTTTTAAATTTACTACAAAATTCATGTCTTTGATTATTGTTTATGGCCCTTGTCTATATTCCCACTGAACTATGGGCTTTTTATTTTATTTTTTACTTATTGAACTCTTTATTTAGTGCAGCATTAAGCCTTTGAATATAATGTAAATTAAAATGTTATCTCAAAAAATTAAAATGAAGAAAACAAGAAAGAGAAATAAAAGTGGAGAGGAGAGGAGGAGGGGTGAGGAGAGGTGGAAAAGAAAAGGGAAGGAAGGGATGGAGGGAGGGAGGGATGTATCATACTTTTAGAATTGTATCTATGAAATATAGGGAATCTCTTTGTATTAATACAACATGAAAACTGATGAAATTTGTGTTGTAGCAATTATCATGCATTTGTTGTAACCCTAAGACTCTTGTTTTAATAAATTCCTTAAAAAAAAAAAAAGATGCTGGGAAAACCAAATTGGTAGCTTTGGGATCCACAAGTAGAGAATGCCCACACTTCCGGGAATGGAGAGTCCCTACCCGCATTTCCAAGAACAAAAAGTCCTTGTCAAGGTCCCTGCGGGTGCCTAAAGGTCAACCAATGAGGATCAGACCTGCCTCAACCTTTAACCCCCATGTCCTGTATCTATAAAAGGAGCCCTACCAACCTTAATTTTATTTAAATTAACCAGCTTGACTGATTTTATAGCAATCAGAATAAAGTTTGAAAAGATGCATTGTATATTTATATGTATATATGTTTACCTATGCATCTATCTACTCATAGCATCCATTGTGTTGGAAAGAATCAGAATCATCTGATTTCATCAAATTCAAGGGGGAAATTTCTCCTTCCTCAAAACAGACCTGAAAGAAACAATGTTACAATTACACCAGAGAAGCTACTGATTATAATTGGATCTATGGGACATTGTCCCTGGAGTTTCAGAATTTGTAATATTGTATAAATAGATTTATAACTTTAATTTGCAACATGATTGGAAAATTTTCAAAAAGCAACAAATAAGTCACCTTAGATAGCCAGAGGCTGGTCCTTTGGAGGGTATTTCTGCAGCATAGACAACAAGTCAACTCCAGCTGTATGAAAGATGTACCTATTATGTGTCTCCCACCATGAGACTCTCTCACTGTTTTCTTTGGTTTGAAAAGGAAACTCTGGGTCTATGTCTAAATGTTCAAAGTCTTCATTCAGTTAATTAATTTGTGTTTGCAGAAATCTAAATTTTTTTTGTTCACTGTATTTCCTGAATAATTTTGGATACATCTCTAGAAATGGCAGAAGAAACTGTGAACGTGGAAAGCAGAATATTTCATAAATATGAAGACAATTGCCAAGCTAGAGGAAGAAAACCACCTCAATGGCTCATAGGTAAATATAGGATCTAGCCATACAACAGTTAAAAATTAGGCTTGGGAGAAAAAAGAAAAAAAATGTTTTTTTGTCTCATCTTCTCATGATGTTTCTTGAATAAGCCTTCCTCCCACATTAACATTGCCAAAAGAAAATCTTGAAGCAAAAATGATGTGGATTTATCTGTTGACTTCAGGCTCAAATATTACTGACAGATTACTTCAAATACATCTTACTATTCTATCATAAATGTAGAGAAAGCTTTAAGCACAAACTACAAATTAATACAAGGGGGAAATGCTATGAAATGCAAAGAGGGGGAGGATGTCCCTTGTTTTACCTATGTTTAGTATGTGACATTAATCCATGTGTGTACATACAAAGACTAAATAATAAAATGTTTCAAGCAAATTGGACAACTGGAACAGTTTTTATCTTCCTGGGATTTTCCCACTACCCCAAAGTCGAGATAATCATATTTGTTCTCTGTCTGCTGATGTACTTGACCACCTTGCTGGGCAATATTGTTCTGATCTCCATTACCATCCTGGATTTTCATTTGCACACTCCCATGTATTTCTTCCTCAGTAATCTCTCCTTTCTGGACATCTGGTACACTTCTTCTGCTCTCACTCCCATGCTGGTAAATTTTGTTTCAAGGAAAAATACCATCTCATTCTCAGGATGTGCTTCCCAGATGTACTTATCTCTAGCTATGGGCTCCACCGAGTGTATACTTCTCTCCATGATGGCATATGATCGGTACGTGGCTATCTGCAACCCCCTGAGATATTCCATCATCATGAACAGGAGGCTCTGTGTACGGATTGCAGCTGGATCGTGGGTGACAGGATGCCTCACTGCCCTGGTAGAAACTCTATCTGTGCTGCAGCTGTCTCTCTGTGGAAACAGCATCATTAATCACTTTGCTTGTGAGATTTTGGCTGTCCTGAAATTGGTTTGTGGAGATACTTCTATGGCACAGTTAATAATGCTGGTGATCAGCATACTTATTCTTCCTATGCCAATGCTACTCATATGTATCTCTTATGCATTTATCCTCACCAACATCCTGAGAATCAGCTCAGTGGATGGTCGAAGCAAAGCCTTTTCAACATGTGCAGCTCACTTGACGGTGGTGGTTTTGTTCTATGGGACAGCTCTCTCTATGTACCTGAAGCCCTCAGCCATAGATTCACAGGAAATAGATAAATGTATGGCTTTGGTCTATGCAGGATTAACCCCCATGTTGAATCCTATCATTTATAGCTTACGCAATAAAGAGGTAAAAGTAGCTGTGAAAAAATTACTGATTAGAAATGCTTTTAATACTGTCTTAATTTCCATCCTGAAATAATACTGGAATCTTAAATATTATCTGGAAAAACACACCATAGTTAATAAAACTAAAATGTAAAGAGTACTCATTTTCAACAGGAGTTCCCTATTATGCCCTCTATGCTGATTTGCCTTTGTATGTTAATGAATATTTACACTGAATTAGTCATGTTTCTAGGAAGGCAGGTAGCCTTATTGAATATCAACGTAACATTAAAATTTGACAATTGCCTATCACTTCACTTTTACTTGCTGCATCATCTCAGTGTCCAGTTGTAGCATAACATGAATATAACATACAAAGAACATAAAATTCTGAGCCTAGAACTTTCAAATTTACTCTGATTTACAATTGTCCCTGAATTTAAGGAGAAATAGGTATTTTAAATTAGTGTACATGTAATTCAAGATGTATACAAATATAAAAAATTCATAAATCATTAATTTTGGAATCTTCCTAGTTTCCAAGGTGTCAAAATATGAAAAAATGGCTTTAGATTTGATAAAATACATTAGTGCTTTTGTTTATTTGGGACATGTTTAGGATGAGTAAATATCTGTGTGTATAAAGGTAGCATAGTAAAGATTTACACAACTCTAATGCTATGTAAGAAGTGGAGCAGAGGTCTAACAAAAGGAAATATTGATGTATCTATGTCAGAATACTCTCCTACTGTGATTGGAGGGTCTCAGTGAAATCATGAACATATTTATGTTATTATTTTCTTAATCAATCAATTGTAATTGAAGAACAATCCTTATCCTGAAGTGATTACATTGAAGAAAAAATGCCCTATTAATACTGACACATACTGTACAAAAGTTCATGAATATATTTAATATTTGTCAGCAACATTACATAAATTATAATTTTATCATAATGCATATTGACATACTTCTTTTTGTTTTATATACTCTCTCTGGATCTAGGGAATGAGAATAATGGACACATTACTTACTCTTTATCAGAGAAGATTCTTTGGATTTATGTAATTGATGGCTTTATCCTATAGAGAAGGTGTCTCTTGCAACCATGGATATAATTTCCCTGAGCCTCAGCTTTTAGAGATGATATAATTACAGATAATTATAACAAGAGACTCCAGCTCCAGCAAAACAGAACTTGCATGGACGGATTCTGCAGTGGGTGAATAGATTTAGGAAGAAACCTTGTAGAAGGCAAGAATTCAAGGAATAATTACTCTCCTGGTGATCTTAATTCAAGCGCCCTTCAGACACATGAGAAAATTTTTATTTCTCAGATATCAGATGTCTAGTTCTGTTAATGGAGAATCTCTCTAAAGGTAGGGATTAGAAATATACATAATGGATAAAGACAACACAATTGTTCTGATCTTCATCTTTACTAGAACACTTTACTATCAGACAAGAGTAACCACAGTATGAAAACTGAGGAGAGGAAGAAGTATTAAACCTATTACCCACCTAATATTTGCAACAATTCAAAAACACAGTTTTCAGGTAATATCAAACATTGAGAATACACATAATCATCTTATTTGTTTCTATAGATAAAAATAAATCCTTTTTAAAAAGGTATTGATGTGACATTTTATACCTCATAAGCTTCATGTGATAATTCTTCATTGGTGTCCAAGGTGGATATCTTCCACTGCTTTCCCAGGATCATTAGTATGGTGCTAGATTGGAAGTGGAACAGCTGGAGCTTGAACTGGCACCCATAAAGTATGCTAACATTTCAAGTGTTAGCTTAATCCATTGCACCACAGACCTGGTCCTACGATTTTTCCTTCTTTTTTGTTATATTTTAGAATAAATTTCCAGGAAGCATTTACTTCATCAAGGGCAAAAAACAATTCTATGATTCTCAATAGAAAACTTTTATGGTTTTTGTTAATATAAATCCAAATTGCTTTGGAGGAGGAGAGGGATTAAACCAATTTGTTTACATCTCTATTAACATAAATAACATTCATATAACTAAAAGAACTTGCAACACTGAAAAAATTTTTTCTCAAATATTTCACCATAATATACTCCATGTACTACTATTTTGCTTAACTATTTATCTCTTCCATTTAGTATGTCTTTGTTATCTTTCCTATTACATTATATCCTGGGTATTGCTATTGGTGGGCATTCAGACACAATAAGGAATTAGAGAGGAATTGGGTCTACCTCTGGAGCTTAAAACTTTTATACTAGCATACTTCAAAATGTTTGTGGGAAATGGAATTATAGATAAACTTCTTTTGAGAAATAATTTTTGAAATTCACAAATAGTTTTTCATACTATGTACTTCCACAAACTTTTTGAAGACATATAATAGAATGAGAAATAGCTAAACTTTTTGTGCATCAAAAGTCACCTCGTAATTACCTCACAGAAGTGTATATTGGCACAGGAATGGAATAAGCACAGTATTTTGAAAAGATAATGCCATGGAGGTAGACTAATTCAGAATAATTATGATACATGAGAATAGCTCATGAAATACAGTTTTTAATATAGAATAAATGGAAAGGTTATTAGAGGTGACAAGATTAAGGCCAATAAACCAGAAGGCAATAAATATTGTCCATCCAGATACAAAACTGGTGTCTGAGCATTCCTAGATTATATCTCTCTACTACTCTAGTCAGAAGAAATTGTTGGAGTACAACACACAGATAATTATTTCTTTTAGTTCAGTTTCCACAGTTCATTTTTTATTGTCAACTTTAATTTCTCAGATCCTATTATTAAAAAATTTGCCTTGACCTTACTGAAAATAAGTTTAATGGGTCCTCTAAATATTATATCCAATTTTGTCTCTACATCTTCATTTACATGTCTGATGTGCAATAAAAGATTGTGGTATACTTTCTGAAACAACAGAAAAATTCTGTTATGATATGTTCATTTTCAAACTTTACTAATATAACTTTATCTCGATTTTAAAGATGTTTGTCCTATTATATATATGTATATATTTATTTTAGCAGAAAAAATTATTTTAAACAAAGTTTTTCAAACCTATATTTGAGTCAATACTGATAGATACAGACATTTCATCCTTCTTTCTTTTTTCTCTCTTTTTTGTTTCTTTTCCAAATTTTAGCTCCCACATATAAGGTAGAACATACAGTATTTGTCTTTCTGGGTATGACTTGTTTCACTCAACAGGATATCCCCTGGTTGCATCCATTTGCTGCAAATGATAGAATTTCATTATTTTTCCTTGGTGAATAATATTCCATTGTATATATATACCACATCTATTCATCTGATGATGGACACCTTGGTGGGTTTCAAATTTTGGTTATTGTGAGCAGTGCCACTATAAAGATAATGGTGCAGGTATCTCTTTGATACACTGGGTTCAAGTCTGTTCGGTATATACCCTGTAGTAGAATTGTTAGGTCATATTGCAAGTCTATTTCTAGTTTTTTAAGAAATTGTCACACAGTTTTCCACAGTGGCTGCACAAATTTACATTCCCACTAACAATGTATAAGTGTTTTACTTTCTCCATATCCTCACAGTTATTTGTTACTCTCTGTCTTTTGGATAATAGCCACAAGTGATATCATTGTGGTTTTGATTTGCGTTTGCCTGATGGCTAGCGATGTTGAGCATTGTTTCGTAGATTTGTTGGCCATTTGTATTTCTTCTTTTGAGATGTCTCTATTGAATACCTCTTCCCATTTCTCTTTATTTTAACTTTTATTTAATGAATATAAATTTCCGAAGTACAGCTTATGGATTACAATGGCTTCCCCCCCATAACGTTCCTCCCACCCGCAACCCTCCCCTATCCCACTCCCTCTCCCCTTCCATTCACATCATGATTCATTTTCGATTCTCTTTATATACAGAAGATCAGTTTAGCATACATTAAGTAAAGATTTCAACAGTTTGCTCCCACACAGAAACATAAAGTGAAAAATACTGCTTGAGTACTAGTTATAGCATGAAATCTCAGTGTACAGCACACTAAGGACAAAGATCCTACATGAGGAGTAAGTGCACAGTGACTCCTGTTGTTGACTTAACAAATTGACACTCTTGTTTATGGCATCAGTAATCACCCTAGGCTCTTGTCATGAGCTGCCAAGGCTATGGAAGCTCCCTGAGTAAACCGACTCTGATAATTTTTAGACAAGGCCATGGTCAAAGTGGAAGTTCTCTCCTCCCTTCAGAGAAAGGTACCTCCTTCTTCAATGACCCGTTCTTTCCACTGGGATCTCACTTGCGGAGATCTTTCATGTAGGTTTTTTTTTTTCCCCAGAGTGTCTTGGCTTTCCATGCCTGAAATACTCTCATGGGCTTTTCAGCCGGATCTGCATGCCTTAAGGGCTGATTCTGAGGCCAGAGTGCTGTTTAGGACATCTGCCATTCTATGGGTCTGCTGTGTATCTCACTTCCCATGTTGGATCATTCTCTCCCTTTTTGATTCTATCAGCTAGTATTTGCAGACACTATTCTTGTTTATGTGCTTCCTTTGGCTCTTAGTCCTATCATTATGATCAATTGTGAACAGAAATTGATCACTGGGACTAGTGAGATGGCATTGGTACATGCCACCTTGATGGGATTGAATTGGAATCCCCTCTCAACAGGACTGGTTGGTTTTTTTTGTCATTGTTACCGAGTTTTTTTTAAGTTGCTCATATATTAGAGATATTAATCCTTTGTCAGATAGGTGGTTTGCAAATATTTTTTTCCCATTCTGTTGGTGTCTCTTCACTCTATTGATCATTTCCTTTGCTGTGCAAAAGCTTTTGTGTTTGACATCTTCCCATTTGTGTAGCTTTGCTTTTGTTGCCTGTGTTTTGGGGGTCTTGCCCAAGAAGTCACCCCCTATACCAGTATTTTAGGGTGTTTCCCCTATGTTTTCTTCCAGCAACTTCATAGTTTCAGGTCTTAAATTTATGCCTTTGATCCACCTTGAATTGATTTTTATTTATGGCAAGAAGTATGGATCTAATTTCATTCTTCCACATATATACATTCAGTTTTTCCAATACCATTTGTAAAACAGATTATCCTTACTCCACTATATGATCTGAGCATTTTTGTCAAAAATCAATGGACTGTATGTACGTGGATTAATTTCTGTGCTCTCTTTTCTGTTCCA